GAGCTCAGTCCTGCACCACTTTCCTGAAGTCCATCCCCCATGGCACCTTCTTTCCAAGGCTGGAGTCTGGTTTTGACGGAATCTGACAAAGACTACAGGAAAGAAAACTGTGGGAAGAACAATGGATCAGCTCCCTTCAGATACAAGTTCTTCTTATGCTTAAAATCAGGCCCTATTTCTCTTTATATGTGATTGCGGCACGAATACCTATGGGCTGCAGACCTTGGCCCATTATCTGAGGGGGATCACTAGCTAATTCAGCTTCCCAATTTTCAGATAAAAAAGCAAACTTCTAGCTCTTATAGAACCCAAGATATCAGGCAAAATGTTCACGCACATTTCAATCTTTTGTAAGAAATGGATGTTTTATCCAATTGTTTGTAAGAAATTAGCCCATTAGCACCTTTCAGTGTGTTTAGCCAATGAATGGAATCCCAGCTATGAACATCTGGCTATCAAGGAAGCCTAGAGTGGCCAGGTTCACACGTCATAACAAGCCATGGTGATTTCTTGCCTTTGTCAGTCTGTCCTGCCATCCAGACCCATGCATGGTGCCTTTAGTTTCCCAAAACCATGGAGAACATCAACAGGCTGTTCTAAGCTTTCCATACCACGGCCTCTCCATGACCCAGGATCACCATTTTACCATTATGGCATGGAAGAACTTTGAAGTCTTGTGGAAAGTGGCCATTAAGCCACCCTTTCTCTATTCCCCTCAGCTTCCTAGCAACATACTCATAATCACCCTCTTTATTCCTATTGGCTGAGCAATGTGCCCATCTCCCAAAGACTTACTTTCCCAAAGAGAGAAAGCAAGTAAATCCACAGATTAATTTAATTAAAAAAATCTTTTAGAGGCTGGAGTGGCCAGAAATTGTTGCAGGAATGAAGGTGCACTTGGGAAAGGGAAGAAAAGAACTTGTCCTCACTGGTCTGCTGAAGTTTTGAGGCAAAGCTGCTGAGGTCCAGAGGAAGCAATCACATTAGGAAAGAGACTTTGCTTGCAGGGGATGCTGGGGTTCATGGAAGAGCAAGAGGATGGACTGGGAAGCAACCATGTTGCTATAGGAACCACACAATCCTAAGCTGATTGGACAAAATTTGCATTCCAAGGAAACTACACAGGGTTCTTTGCTGTGATGTATGAACCCAGTCAGTGCCTAGCTACCTGCAGAAGGGACTTCCCAGTTCATTCTGACCCTGCTTAATTTTGTCCAGGAAGGTGTGCATAAGCACACACAAGGAATTGGAAACAGTTGTCCTTCCTGAATTTTTGTTGGCCTACATATTAGTGACAGCTAAGATTTTTCCCTGCTTAGTCAATTACCCCTTTCCAGATACCCTTTCAAAGCCACCCACTGCAGATGAAAAATAACAACATAGCAACTGCCTAGTAAGCAAGCATGTTCTGGATTTTGGTCCAAGCGTGTTCACCCATTGAATTATTTCTGTGCTTTACAGTAACTTGAAGGAAGGAAAGCAGGATCAGGGAGAAGGAGGATTAAGCTTGTACTGCAGGGCTGCAACTCTATAAAGACATGCCGAAGCATAGAAATCAGCTTTTAGATGTTTGACTTACTTCTAAGTAGACATGTATAGTGTTGCATCATTAATAAACACCAGAGGTAATAATGTTAGTCTATTGATGCAAAACCAAAAAAAAGTCTTGTTGTCTCTTTATGTTTATAATTCCCCCCTCCTCTCACCACATACACATACACCCATACTTGCATATATAAAGTTGAAATTCTCCATAATATTCCATGCACCCAGTGGAGTGGGCTATACTACACAAAAGCTTAGGCCAGAATGGCTGTGTTAGTATTTAAAGTGCCATAAGATTCTTTGTTGCTCTAGCTGTTAATGAAATTTCTTTGAATTGATGTTTATGCAGAAATCAGAGGCATATGGTTGGGACATACAAGAAGCATGAGCATGTTTTTCAAACTTTAAGGATTAATATATATTCTAAGAGCAGGTGTCAGTCCTCAAGGTATGTACCTTCCCAGTGTATCTATATGATAAATTTCCAAATGGGGTAATGGGCACAACACAGAATATATGCATGCATACCAGTTCAGAAAGGCAGCAGGTTAGGGAGGCATATCATGAACACTGTAAGCCCTTTTTTGCATAAAGGTATTTATTTTATTAAGTTTGTGTTCCACATTTCCACCAGCAGCTGAGGATTCATTTTTTCCTCCAGTAATTCTGTGTGTGAATTAGGCTGAGAGGAAGTTGCGGACCCAAGGTCATCCACTGAGAAATAATGGTCATCCTCAGGCAGCAAAATGTTGCGTGTATCCATCATGTTCAGCTGTTATGTCTCAGGCAGTAAGGACAGTGTATTCTCATTGGGTGTGTTGGGCCTGGGAAAGGAGTTTCAATGTGCATGTGCTGGAATACTCAAACTTTTTGTAGTCATGGACACCCATCAGAATTTGAGAAACTACAAACTTTGCCACCACAAAATGGCTCATATGAAGGATGCAGCTAGCCACGTTAGGGTTGCTGTGGGGGACTGATGAATCAAAAGCGGTGGAAGGAAGAGAAATAGCAAAGCTAGAGGCTGGGAGCTGAGAGAACAGCATGATAAAGGGATGAGAGCAGGAAAAAAAAAGGTTAGGGTCTAGACAGAGAGAGAAAGTTGGTGGCTAGAGACAGAGAGCTGGAGAGAGAAACAGAGACAAAAGGTATTGATTGGAGAGAAATAGCAAGGGTGTATAATTGCTAGAAAGGTGTAGTTTGATATACGGGCATCTAATATGTATTCGTTGTTATGGATATACATAAATCCATGTACATATATTAAAGAGTACATTTATGTTTTCAAAGAGTACCCACAGGTAGCATGATGAAGATCTCTCCAATAATGCTGTGAAATGAGGCATTTGTATTTGAGTTCTTTATCATGGAAGAAATATCCATCTTTTGCTTCCAGGCCACCATGGAAGACAAGTTCTACTGATCTTTTTGACATTATTGTAAATTGCTTACTGTACATGTATGTGTGCATGTACAAGTGTTGTGCATGAGTTCAACACTGGGGACAGAGTAGGCTGCCCACTGCAGGGAGCCAACCCATCCTGGCTTTGGGCCTCCCTGAGAAAGTCCCACATTTAGGCAGGTGGCTCTGCCACTGTCATGGGTAGCTTGAGCCTCAGAGGAACACAGATGCTGGAAGAAAGCACTGAAAAATCTAGGAAGCAAGTTATGAAAGAGGTAGTAATGAGGAGGAGGGGAAACCAGCCATGAAAGTAACAAAATAAGAATGACAATTTCGACAGCAGGAAAGTCATGAAAAAATTAAGAGTTATACTTTATAATCATTTAACAGAAGTATTGAAATAATAGTGTGAAATAATATCTGGGAATATATGGAATACCAGAATATTTTAGATACACCCAATCTGCAAAGTGAATTCTGCTTTTCAAACAGAATTACTTATAACAGAAAGTACATGGTTTTGAAACTGAGCGCTTTTGTCCAGTTTGTAGTCCCACACCTATGCATATAACTGATAGGACTATTTTAAAATTGGATAGTATAGTCTACGACTTAATGTCCAGAGTTTACTGGCCCATTTGAATTCTCTTCCACATGTCTATTGATTCATATTCTACTGCTCAGGTCAGTCATTTAATCAGAGATTCCTCTTTCAGAAATAAGGCTTTAGCACCATGAGTCTCCTTACTATCAACAGTAAACAGAGCCTGCAGTTGCTGTAACCTATCTAAGCTTAACGGAGCCAAACTGACTGGCTCAGTAATTTAAAAAACAACAAGTTAAGCATAAGAAACGCAAAAAAGTCTGAAGGGCCATAGTGCCAGGTTCTTAAGTTTTGTTGTCACAGCACATCACAGCAGGACAGCCCTGTTTTATATCTTCTTCATATATTTAACTGTTGCTATTAAATACAGCCTTTGCAATTCAGGCATTTTTAAATATGACCTCAAATGTCATCTAAAAATCTACAAATGCTAGCAAGCCACTTTGAAGAAAACAGAAGCTTAACTAATTATCTAACATCTGGATCCAGACACTATTTTGTCCATTTTAGATTCTTTGTAAAGCTGTTATCTTGCCATTTCTAAAATAAAATCACCACCTTAGAAAAGTAACACTGTTGCTTTGCTTTTACTTTTGCTTTCTTTACGAGTGGTCTCACCTGGCATTAGCCCCACATCCATCCACACAGCTGACAGAACCATTTTTATACCTGCAGTGTGCTGTCTACACACTAGACTTCCCACAATTCAAACATTGGTGTCTTGGAGAGAAATGTACTGGAAGCTTACCTAGAACTATGCTTAGATGTTTGGAGGAAATAAAACAAAGGCTCAAAGAAATACTGCAGTAGTATCACAACTTTGTTCTAAAATCTGATTTTCAATTGAAGGAAGGTTAACACCATTAAAATACTATTTCCATCACATTATTGTTGTGACTGCAAAACAAACCAACCAACCAACCTATTCTGGTAGCATGAAACATGATTGATACCTTTATTTAAAAAGAAAGCTATTCTTCCCAGCTGCCTTTCCTCTCTTTGTTTAGAAAGCAGATTTTGCTCTAGTTTCTTCATTAGACTCGAGCAATTTGTTGCACGGCTACTTCCTATGACTAGAAGCCATCTTTCTGGCCTAGGAATAGGCAAGTTGCGCCACCTTGTGTTTCAAACACACAAAACTCTACTTCACATGCATTTCACAATAGTCATAACACACAAAGCACAAACATAGATCAGATTAGCTATCTGAGTGCCAAGATTTCCTATCAGCTACACTATAGTTGACCCTGATACTACATAAGCATAGTATTTACATGCTGACAAATTTAATTATTCTAGTTTTACAAATACTGAGATCTTGCTTCATTCTTTTCTATCCATTAAGATCATTTTTATTTCTGCATAGCCCTTTTCTGGGCTCACCAAAAAGTGAAAATACCTTAAAGCACTAAGAAAAGGAAAAACTATCTAGTTTTTGTTCAAACTTACCTTTGAGTGTGTGATCGCTAGAGTATCTACCCAAACACGCCAGCCACCCCATTCGTATTTGATTGCATGATAAAGTAAAATTCTAAAAATGGTATACACCATTTCAGTTATCTTCTGTTCATCAGAGCTTTTCGGATTAATATAGCAAAGTGAAAGCATCCATTCCTGCCATACAGAGCACTGTAGTAAACTCCTGCAAAATGGTTAACACACATTGTTAAATTAAGTCTCAGAACCAAGCAAGCAAACTGCAACTCAAAGACAACTGTGCTTTAGAAAGCCATGAAGTCTGTATGAATTAAACATAGTTTGAAATATTTTACATAAAGTTACCTTTATAATGGAAAAATCACTGATGATATCTGAAATCTTTATCTTATTTCACATATTATTTTAACATCAAATTAATGGAAGAGCTAGCTTCCTAAGATGCATTGTGGGAACACTGATACAATTATTAATTCATACGTTCATTCATTAAATGTCTCATAAAATACATTTCTCTAGGTATTTTACAGTACACATTATCTACTTACCTCCTATTGTCTCTGCTGCTATTAAAAAGCTTAATCATATCAGAGAGGAAAACTCTACGGACTTCCATAGTGTCTGAGCACTGTGGAGAATTATGCAGCAAAGTTGCAATAACTTTCAGGACCTCTGCAAAAATATAAATATTGTTTTAATAAAGAAAACAATGAAAAAACTAGATTAGCCTCCCTTGTTCTAGTTTCTTCAAATTAAGCAAGGGCTACATAATGATATCATAGGAAACTAAGCAGAAACATTTGGTGGACTTTCTTCTGAATATAAAACAGAAAGGTTTACTCTTACATGTGTACAGTGGTGTCACCAACATGAAAAGTTATATATGCTAGGAAATGAGAGCAGGCACATTGATTATTCAGTCAAAGTAATTCCTGTTTTGTCACTTTTTGGTAAATTAGCATAAAATTGGTTCCTAAGTATCATAAGATCTGGAAGTAACTTTACCATAATAGCAAAACAGCAATTTTATTATAACAGCATTATAAATATTCAGAAGAACAATATCTCTAATAACTGGATGCTGGGAATAAACAGGGAGAATTTTCTTGATCATGTCCTGCTTGTGTTTTCCAAGACATGTGAATGACTACTCTTAGAGTAAGAACACAGGATACGCTGGACAGCAGTATGATCACAGGAAGATAATCTGATGTGCCCTTTCTTCTTACTTAGTGGCCATGTCCTGTTCTGTTTTGAACTTCTGGGGAAATGTTCTGAGAAGCTTAATACAGTAATCAATATTTCTTTGCCAAGGGTTCCATTAGTGGTTCCACTTGGCGACAACTGGAAAAGTTAGAAATCTTTGTCACTGCCAATTAAATTGCAACATGATTAAATAAGCATAAAATGTTTGAAATATTACACACACTATGAAATATTAATTGGAATTAGTTAATGTCATGTGCTTTTCCCCCCAGTTTTCAAGATTTTATAGTTTTTTTGTTTTTGTAAAAGCTAACAACTAAGGACTGAGAATGGCTCAAATGGTTTTTGTTGTTATTCCAAATTAGTTGTACAAATACATATGTATATAATACATATTAATACATGTTTTCTCCCCCAAAACACACAGGTATTTCCCTTTCATGGGTATTCTATCTCAAAGTTAAGATGAGCTTTCAAGTGATTATTTTCAACATTTCCAAAGAAATCAGGATTAACTACTGTCATTTATTTAGGTATTGATTTAATTTTATTTCTATGTTGCCCAACAGCTGAAGCTCTCTGGGCAGCTTACAACAATTACAAAAGTAATTAACTGTACATGTCATGTGTGTGTCAAGAGCAGCTTTTTCTAAGCAACGTAAGTGCATCCGGTATAAACTGCAAAGTGAATCAAGTATACGAAAATAGCTCAGATGCTTATTTGTGCACACACCAAGCTGTACAGAAGACACTTGTTGCTGCCAAAGCATGGCAATGGTTACCCTGAATATGGACGTCCCTACACTTACAAAATGGAATTCTCATACCCCTGAATAGGTGTTCAAAGTCATATATTTGGTTGAGAGCAAAGTTGAGAAGAAGAATATCAAGCACTGGAAGGAACTTAGTCCAAAGAATCGTGCATAGAGGGACTTGCACTCATTCATGCATCACTTTTTAGAAAAACAGATAAATATCACAAGACAACGCAAAGAATTGGCTATCCTTGATTTCCTGCTGTCAGATTCAGAAATACTGTTCACTTGAAAAAGAGGCATGGACATTCTGGATGAATGGAAGTTTATGGAAATGCCTATAGTGGGGACAAAGATTTTCAATATCGTGATTGTAAAAGCCACATGACTTTCTTTATGAACAGCTCATCTCCCTCAGCAAATCTACCAACTGTGTATATTTATCCTCACCATGAAAGGTACAGTTCTATCTTATAAATTAATTCCAAGTCTAATGCAGAGAATAACAAAAATGACTAAGACTATTTCTTCATACAGTGCTTCTTGTCAAACTGTTTACATTAAGAACCAAGTATGGCAGAGTTCTCTTATCACTTGTTACACACTGGGAAGGATCAAGGCTACTAGCTTGCCTGAGGCAACCTTGTGGTTTTAGTAAGAATCAATATCCACCAACACACTGATGTGGGAGGCATGTTAAAAGTGCAGTTAAGGAAGAGAATGAGCCCAGCGGTGCCTCATAGCCAATGCCTATGTCATTGATGGCGAACCTTTTAGAGACCAAGTGCCCAAACTGCAACCCAAAAGCCACTTATTTATCGCAAAGTCCCAGCACTACAATAAAACCTGAAAACTTGAGGTTTTAGTTTAGAAAAAACACCTCACAGCCAGTCCAAGCAAATATTTATATATTCTGAGCAGAGCACTGACCAGCCATGAGGAAGATTGGATGAGTCATGGCTAATGAGTCGTGGCTTGTGACATCATCACCTGGCACCACTACTCCTTTCCAAGCATGCGCATGGCCCCGATGTATGCTGTTACCCAATGTTCGACTGCTGAGGCTATCCTGGGGCAATTTGGCTCGTGTGCCGACAGAGAGGGCTCTGCGTGCCCGCTGTGGCACATGTGCCATAGGTTTGCCACCATCTCATGGTAATCTCATGATCATCTCATGGAAAACCTGAAGGTCCTCAGAGCAGGGGTGGGGCTTTTAACTGCTTTTAGCTGAAGATGCTTACAAGTGACCATGAGACTGGACACCCTGAGAAAGTGGGCTCCAGGTCACACAGAAGCCTGCATATGGATTCAGCCAAACCGACTAACACCCATTCTGGACACTTCGGTCCCAGGCATATGAACCTCTACGGGAAAACTTGCCCAACCCGCTACTTTCCAGATGTTTTACACTACACTTCCTAGCAAATGAATGGAGCTGATGGGGATGCAAGTTCAGAACATTTAGGACACCAAGTTGGAGAACCTTGGTTTAGAGACACCCATGCACCAAGGGATGTTGCGCAGGGCCCTACATGCACAGCCTTGTTTCTCATATGTTCAGGCTGAACACTAGCATAGGACTACCATCTCTTAGTCATCAAATAATAAAGATAATAAAGGATTATGCTGAAAATGCTTTTAACTTATCTTTCAGGCCTAAACACAAGGAGAAACTGTCCAGCAGAGTTCTTGAACTAATGGTAATTCCAGATAAAAGTTTCTTCCATAGTTTGCATTATGTAGTGATGTCAGAACAAATTAGGTAAGTGGATTTGTGTTAGAACCTGAACTGTTATTAAAACCAAAACATCCTGTTCCTGCTAAACCTTGGGTAAACATTTCATAGTGGCAACAACCCCAAAAGTCAGTGTTCAATTAAGAAACATAAACATAAATAAATGAAAAGTAGAGACATAAACTTCATAGTTAACTGCTATCCTCTTTTGTATACATGATTACATGTAGTTACCTTCTAACCTATCTTAAAAGAGCATAATGCTTACGAGGATTTTGTATTTTCACTGCTGAATCTGGGTCGGGATGCTGCTTATGTATCACTTGAGTGCAAATCTGCTCAATAAGAATCTGGAGAAAGGACAAAAAGGCAGGGAAAAATCTATCACTTGTTTAAGAAAACATTATTTGAATAAGTGTAATGTGGCTGGGGTTTTTTAAGGTTGAAGATCAGTCATCTTTATTAAATCATAATTTCTATACATATTCTATACATATTCTCTAAACTGTTGCATATCTTTAACAACTAAAAGAGAATGAAGTGAAGTGAACATTAGATCTATGGAAAAACAATAAAAATACTAGCATTTGGGAGAAATGTGTGTTTGAATAATGGCTGTTTGATATCTTTCTTTACTGCTACTTCTGCAGAAACAATCATTTGCTCCATTACATCAAGCAATTAAAAGAGCTCAATAAAACTTAAAATAGGTCCTATAAAATGACACTTTGGAGTAGCAGAATATGAGAACAAAGTATTAAAGGAGAAATACAATCTGCATTCTTTTAATGTATTGCAGAATACTAAAGCAACATATTGTGTATTATTAGTGGCTACTAATTAGTGATATCAACACCATCAACACTTAATGATCAATGCATCTTGCTAAACTAGTCTCATTCTGCTCTGCCACTCATTCCAAGCTACTGGCAAATGTGAAACAAAGAACAGGGTGGCAGAAGGCCATCACTTTTGGCAGAAATGCCAAAGGGCTACACCCAGAAAAAGCAGGTAAAGTTGTGCCTCATATTTTCACATTGGCTCTGTAAGGTCATCTTGGTTGCTACACTTATGTACTATTTTCTTGGAAGGTTATATAGGAATCCATTAGAAATTCCTACTAAACGTGATCCCTTGTACTGCTTGTCCCCCTAAAATCCAGGAACACTTCTGTCCCTTAACTGAAGGATTTTCATGTTGCAGCCTAACTTTGCATATTGTTTTCAACCACACTTTTTACGTTTTCCTCTTTGCTATATGATGACATAACAGTACACTATCCCCAAGCTAGGACATTTCAAATATTCAGAGATCTGCTAGGCAAGTTAACCTACTATTCCCAATTAAGTACGTTGTTTACATACATTAAACAACACTTGTCTGAATTCAAGACAAGACACCTAAGCCAAAATTTCTGTTAACCTCTCAAACGTATCTGCACAAAAACATGCAACCAACTTTACAATAATTTCTATACAATTAGAAAGACTGGAATTTCTTCTAGTACCTCAAATAGCACATTATATGTGGTCATGGTAATGAGACTTGTTTGAAGTGTTAGCCTTTCAGCCAGCAGGGAGAACAATCCATGTCCAAGCATGATTTCAGCTTTCCTCCTAAAATAATGGCAAATTAAATAATAACAGAGCACTAGGAATACATAGCAATTTATTGAGGAATTCTGAAAATGTGACCTTTCAGTTCAAGTCCAGTGTACTTTCGAAGTCAGCATTCCCTTCCCCACCCTCCCCCACCAATTTCTTTCACCAACATAGGTAGGATTACATGGGCTTTGGAAGCTATTTTTTCCTACTTTGATAACAGATAACCTGAGAGGGTAATCATCACCCTTAGGCTATCATGACAAACATAATTCATTTGTTATTAACTGAACTGCCTACATTGTAGGCTCGGTTAAAGACTAAGCAAAGCTACCATAATTAAGACATCATCAAAATGGCAGCAATAAATCTTAATGTACATAAGGGAGCAATCCTATATTGTCTGAGGGGCCACATGATAGTTAGGATTCCCAGACCCAGGGTCAGAGATAGTGCTCCAGTCTCAGATCCAGAAATCAGAAGTTTGACCCATCATCTCCACCCACACACAGCTTGTGCACAAAGAATCATGGTAACTGCTCTCCAAATTGAGGGAAGCAGCCTTGGAGGGGGATTAAATAGGGCATTCCTATTTAATGGAAACTAAGGAAGTCAGGATGCAAGTATCCTAAAGATCTTCCAGCCACTTTTGAAGCACAGCTGCTAGACAAAAAAGCAGAGCAGAGAGAATGGGGAGGCAAAGATCACCGCTACTGCTCATCTTCTGCAGAGGATAAACATGAGCTCCGACTTCAGGGCTTGGACTCATCTCCACAGAAATGTTGCCTAAGTTACCTTTGTTTCTACTGGAAATTTGGCTGCTATGTAACAGCTGCATTCCAATAATCAAAATTCACCTGAGAAAGCTGTGATATGCACAAGCTTTATATTATTATTATTATTATTATTATTATTATTATTATTATTATTATTATTACATTTCTATGCCGCCCCTTGCCGAAACCTCGGGGCGGCTTACAACACAATAAAATACATTGAAATACAATAGAACATAATAAATTACCATTAAATACAAAAATACAAAAAATACACTGAGTTACAAACATAATAATATAAAATTAAAATTATCAGTATAAAATAAGTAAATAAATAATATAGGAGGAGAAAAGAGAAGGAAGAAGAAGTTGCCCTGGCCAGATCATATGTTTTAACAATTAAAATGATGTTTAAATAAAAAGGTCTTTACCTGGCGCCAAAAAACCAGTAACGACGGTGCCAGGCGGACCTCTTTGGGGAGTGAATTCCATAGGTTGGGCGCCACCACAGAGAAAGCCCTCCTCCGAGTACTTACTCTCGTAATTTCTTTCATGGAGGGTTCCCGGAGAAGGGACTCTCCCGCAGATCTCAAAGGGCGGTCGGGCATATACAGACATAAGCGCTCGTTCAGGTAGCCAGGACCCAAGCCGTTTAGAGCTTTATAGGTCATAATCAACACCTTGAATTGGGCCCGGGCTTCAATGGGAAGCCAGTGAAGCTGACGGAGGACTGGAGTCATGTGAACATAATGCCCCGTCCCCGTCAGCAACCTGGCAGCTCTATTTTGCACCAATTGAAGTGTTCAGACTGTCTTCAGGGGAAACCCCACGTAGAGCGCGTTACAGAAGTCTAGGCGGGAAGTCACCAGCGTGTGTGTCACCATCGCCAGGCAGTCGTACTCCAGCTAGGGGCGCAGCTGATTAATCAGCCGAAGCTGAAAGAAGGCGTTCCTCGCCACCGCTGTCACCTGAGCTTCCAAAGAAAGCTCCGGGTCGAGGAGTACTCCTAAGCTGCGGACCTTATCCCTAAGAGGGAGTGTTGTACAGGTTAGGTGACAAGTGCCTGGGGCATAGCACTTGTGAAAGGGACCTTGGGGTACTGGTTGACTGCAGGCTAAACATGAGTCAGCAGTGTGATGCGGTGGTCAAGAGGGCAAACACCACCCTTGGTTGCATAGCCAGAAGTGTGGCTTCTAGATCAAGAGAGTTATTCCTACCACTCTATATGACTCTGGTGCACCCGCAACTGGAGTATTGTGCTCAGTTTTGGGCCCCTCATTAAAGAAAGGATATAGTCAGGTTAGAGTCAGTGCAGCGTAGGGCCACAAGGCTGGTGGCCGGTTTGCAGGGGATGGGGTATGAGGCAAGACTGAGGGAACTGGGTCTCTTCAGCCTGGAGAAGGGGAGACTCAGAGGGGATATGTTGGCGACATACAGGTATGTGAGAGGATGTCACATGGAGATGGGTAGAGACCTGTTCTCCCCTGCAGAGGAAGGCAGGACGCGCTCCAACGAAGCAAAGCTCAGGGAACCAAGGTTCCATTTAGATGCCAAGAAGCACTTCCTGACAATTAGGACCCCGAGGGTGTGGAATGGGCTTCCACGAGAGGTCATTGAGGCCCCATCAGTGTGGGTGTTCAAGGATAGGCTGGACATGCACATGGTGAGCGGACCTGGCTGGTGCCGGAGGTCAGACTGGATGGCCCGGGAGGCCCCTTCTGACTCGTTCTGTCTCTATGTCACTCACATATGGCCTCTTTGTTGCTCCTTTATTGCAAATAAGCAAGCCAGAATTAATAATAGCTTGCCAACATTAAGTTATGGCTGCTTCTTCTGGCCTTTTCAGAAGCTATTATTCTTATTCTGCAGTACATATTTAATGGTTAACTGTAGCTTCCTGGCTTGTTTCCTCACTTCTACAAGGGAAAGAAGCAGAAGCAGTGGCCCTGTGTGCAGGTGAATGAAGCACATACATATCGAATTTCAAGTTTCAATTGTAGAAACATGACCCGTATTAGCAAACATTGTGCCAATCTAAGGATAAATAATTAAGGCTGTATTTTATTTATTTAGCAAACTTATGTCCTACTGTCCTCAAAGTTCCTTACACTATTTAGAAAACAGCAGAAAACAGGAATTGCATCCTCACAGAACAAAAATGGACAACACAACCAGTTCCAGTGGCACAACCACAGAGCATTTGATGTTACTCGGCCCAAGAGGAGTGGAGCAGTCCAACTGCAGCAGGCGTTGTTTTCTTTGCCAACTTCTTTCCAGCTTAACAGTTTATATCAGGGCTGTTTATGTTCTGAACTCTCCCAACAGCACTGACCAACATCAAATGCTGTGTGGGAAGGAACATAAAACAAAATAATATTTACAATCCAGAAAAATAAAGAGTAAATGCTCAGTTCCATTTGTAGTTCAAGTAGCCCTCTACTTACTTGGGTGCCAAATGCTTTAAGAAGTAGCCCATCACCTTTAGAGCTTGTACCCTGATACCTTCGCTTTTTGATGCAAGAAGTTTGTAGACAACACTAAGGGAAAGAGAAAAAACAGTTTACCACTATAAAAATACCTGCAAAGGTTAACAGAGTGTGTAGACCTTGGATTAACTCTAATTAATGATGACTTAAGCCACACTATTACAGATCCATACATTGCCTACAGTGGTACTAAGTAAGGCTTGTTTGTTTGTTGTATTTGTAAGCCATCCCATAGCCTGAGTGCTCTCTGGGCAGCTCACAAGAAAACAGGAACAACATAACATAACTTTAATAAAATAAAACAAAACAATCAAGCTTGCATAGGATTAAGCTAACTTTTCCACAGAAACCAATGGAGCAAGTCATGAGCAGCTGGAAATCCTGGTTGAAAACCCTGACAAAATTGTGTGCTGCTTTTTTTAAAGCACCTGCCTCAAACATCAGTTTATAGAGAATATGATGTGTGGAGAAGCAGCATATTTGCTATGCATTCCTTTCAAATATTTGGTCCCTCACCTGGTTCACAGTGTAAGAAAACACATTTATTAGCACTTCTACATTCTAAGTGACAGAATAAAAAGCTCTTAAAACCCTTCATTACTTGTGAGGCAGAAACTTACGCTAACAGTACTATTTGACATGTGTCCCTTGCTAGTCATTTCTGACAGATTTCAGAAAAGTGGAGGAAACTAATGCTGTCATCTGACATCCTTTTCATTTCACATCCACACTGTGCTTGAAATTATTATGTAAAAACACAAAGTTAATTCTATACATAGTAGAATCCTGGAAGAGCAGTCTTGCTTGTAATGTTGTAAAAATGTGTATTGCTCTTCAAACTACATAAGTTTGCTTTTTATCTTCCCAATACCAGCTTCTTAATAAGACTGTGAAGCCTGCTTGTTTTAATCCTACTGTGTGTGAAAAACAAGATTTTTACAACCTTATGTACAGCAAAAAGTTGATTGCCACCAAACATCTTCAGTATAATTAAAAGCAACAATCTGAAGACATAGGAGTGAAAGCTCTGTATATCCGATGTTAGCAAATATTACATGAACAAAGTCACTTATATGAACCATTCATTGCCACAAATTTCACAAGAAATTTTAATTGCTCCATCTGAGTAACTACTGTGCTGCACTGCATACAATGTTTACCATGGTTATGTACTTTTCCCTCAAAGCTGGCTTGCTCAGTCAAACTCGACAGGTTCCAAAGCAATCCAAAACATATAAGCAAAGGATCCAAGATTCCTGTGATTTCCCTCTTGAAGAAGCACCACCCCCCACATCTCATCCAAACCTGTGATGCCTCAGAATCTTGGACTGATCCTTTAAAGGGTGCAAAGACCTCCAGCAAAGAACAAAGAGCCACTTCATTTGTGGCTGGCAGGATCCAACCATAGTTTTTGAAGGACAGTGGTCCAATCACTGTAGTCTGGTTCCACCCCACCCCACTGTGACCAAACATGGAACCAGGTGGTACAAAAAGGATGTTAATCACTTCCAGTGCTACTATGATAGCATGTCAAACAACCCCAACCATGTGCTTGTCATCTATTGGCAGATTTGCACAATCTGACCATGGAAACAGAAAAGGTGATGTTTAAATAGGGCCACAGATGATAGGGCTGGTCAAAGATATTTTGCTGCCTTAGTTGGTAGAGCAAATGGCTTCTTCACACAAACTCATGTTATATATTACCAAGCACCTGTGGCAGAAATTCCACATGACACCAAAAATCTGATGCCTTAGGAAACTGCCTGACTCTGCCTAATTATAGGGCCAGTTCTGCATATGGTGTTCTGTATTTACTGCAGTTCTGTACTGCTCAACTGCCAAAGCTTGGGGCAGTTCACAGCAATTAAAACAATAAATACAACATAAGATACCCTGCAAAGTTTAAAATGCCAGTATTAAAACACAATGTAAAATTTGTCAGCAGTGCAAGGATTAAAATATAGCAACAGATTTAAAAGAGAAACTAAAAGAATAAAGTGCCTGGGAAAAGTTATTCATCTAGTGCCAGAAAGAACACAAAGTAGGCAGCTAGGTAAACCAGTTCACTCCACAATCGGGGTACCACAGCAGAAAAGAGGACCACACAGGTTTGTTCATTTAGCAGGTTAATGATGTTCAATGTAGCTTCAAAATTAGACCTCAAATCCAGGTTTTATCATCACAGAGTGTACCGGGTCAGAAGTTTGGAAGGCCACACCTAGGTAACCAGCATTTCCTTCTTGTCTGAGAGAAGCAACATTTCTCCAGCCTCTTAACTAATTCTCATGGGAAGTCTACACCAAGCCAAGTTAGGTGCCTGCTCACTTTCAAAGCCAAGAGACTGAGGTGGAACTCTCAAACAGATACAGCTTACTTACTAGGTGGGTGCACACCTGGTTGTCCAATTACACATCTATTCAATTGCTTTTCCATTTTGGCAGACAAAGCTTCATCCATCTTGCTGGCTTGCTGTAGCCCAGCAGGCCTTTATTCATTGAGAAAGATGCATGACCCACTGCAACAGCTGTCTCAGTTACACTGTACATAATGACCCGTTAGAAGATGAAGGGAGCACTACCATTTCAGACCACATACTTCTCATTGAGTCATAACCAATATGAATTACCCAAAAAGCAAATATAGTAGGAACAAAAATGCTGTCACAGCAAACTCACTTACTTTTCAAATACAACCAGTCAACTGGCCTTCACAAGGCTACCACTAATTACGCTCAGAAATGAGCATAAGCAGCACCCACATGTTCCAGTACACTTTAAGCCCTGTTTTGGTTCTTTAAAATGTGAAGTTTTATTTCAGTAACCATGCAAATAGGTGGCAGCAAAAGGGGATTCTTCAACCAAGGCAACAGGCAGTCACAACAAATGCACGCATATTTTGGCAAATTTCTTGTACAATTCAATCCCACTGATCTTTGTACTTTGCTAAAAGAAAAAATATCATACATATGCTGAAGACTTTGGAATTTAACTATCGAGGTATTGAGAACACTACTAGTTTGTTTGGCAGAGATAGATGATTTAGAAAGACGTGGCTATATTTAGTTCATTTTCATGTTTTGACTTCTGTGTTTCTTTGCAGACACCAAGAGTCATATTTTTTCTGTCCTAAGGAATATTCTCTTATACCAGTGATCAGCACTGGAGAGGAATTACTGGCAGAAACCATAAACTATTCAGCATCATAAGTTGTACACTAGGAGCAGTCTTTTAAGATGATGCAATGGCTGTGATTGCTATCATGAAATCTTCTCTCAAGACCAAGCAAGCAGACTTGTGAGACAGGCAGACTGCAGACAGGCATTCTGAGGAGGCCATGATAACCAGATACAGGTATGCACATACTGCTGTTACTGCTATACCCATCTTTGCAAGTCAAAAAAGAAATCTAAGCTTAATGGCATTTTGCTTGGTAGTCCCTACAAGTAAAGCAAAGCTCAAGAAAGGAAAACAGTTTTGAAGTTGATTAATACATGTCAACAGTTCACTGGAAACTGCTGATATACTGAAGGATGGGAATCCAAGGAAGGTTGTTTTAGTTTTTGTCATAGTAAGAAGGCATGCAGGAGAGAAACACAGGCCAGCGGCATCTGTAGCATCCTTGCCTACTGAACAGTATACAAATTAAACATCTTAATGTTTGGAAAATACTAAAAATCTACACTTGGTTTCAAAAATGACTCAGTTTCTTGGTAAATATTTTAAAAATGTCTTCTTTTAAGCATATACCAATTTAAGAATATAAAGGAAATAAACTTACCACAAGACAGTTACAGCAAGACTGTCCTGAAATTTTTTAATCATCAACAAATGACAGGAAAGTAAGTGATTTCTCACAGCAGACTAGTTATGCATACATTTGCCCTGCACTAGCTAATAAAGAAAAGGAATGTCTTTTGCCACTTAAGTAAAAACCAAGTTATACATGAGAGACCTCATATGATATTCATTATTCCGAGTGTTTTATTAGTTTCCAGTACATACCACATTACCATACAAATGATCAAAACAGCCAGCATTACAAAAAAGTAGCCGTAAAGAGAGGCAGAAAGCAATAACGAACCATATCAAGTGACTCCTGAGGCAGGAAAACTTGTAATGTGTAATATGATATAACCCAAGGTTAACCAGTAGTTGTGACAAACTACATGAAATGAGAATACTTTTTATACAGCTAATGAATTACTGCTCTCAGAACTGTTCTAACAGTAACTCTGACTGTGTGTGTTTGCATTCTCTCTTGGCATCAATCCTGAATTCATTTTAAGTGAGAAAAGGTCCAACATTGTGGCCACCCATGGAGCTATAAACTAGATTATGACATTTTCAAACTGAACTGGAGCATGAACTTACATCTAGCATGAATAGGAGGTGGAGGAAGAGCCGAGCCAAGACATGGTGCAGGCTGAAGGCCGGGCACAACATTAATAGATCACATGGATTCAATGGAAGCAATTTAGTATTAAAGGGGCAAGTGTAACATAAGTGCAGGTGGTGTTCAGCCAGTCTGCTGGGTGCAAGCCCCCTGCCTTACAAAAGGGCTAATGCAAGTCAACAGCTATTGCTCCTAGCTGTACCCTTGCTGGCAAAGGTTTGACCCTCCCCAGCTTCAGTTTAAGAGCAGAAAGTCAAAAAGATAGGTTTCTGATGAAGTCCATACTTTGATGATCCCATACAGTCCTACGTTCTAGAAAATGAAAAACTTGGAGCCAGTCAGCTTAATGCTTTGCATAAAAAGGGGAGATTGATTCCTATATTGCAATACATGGGCTCATGCTCAAGATGTTGATTAATTACTTGTCCTTGAAACCACCTTCTGGTACTCATAATCATGGAGATTAAAAAGTGAAATTACAGATTTCCCCTCCATTCATTTCAAAGACAAATACATGGATAGTGATAGTGAAGGAATTTAATTCACTTTAGGCACTGCAAGTAAGCAAAATTACTCTTGAATAAAAGAGTGGAATCTTAGAATCACAGGATACTAAAATTGGAAAGGGCCAGAAGGTGATTGAGTCCAACCCCCCTGCTCAGTGCAGGTCTCCAAATTACACCATCTCTCCAGGATGGCATTTGTCCCTATTGAATTTCCAGTGCTTCAACCTAACAAGATCACCTTGAGTCTTATTTCTGTCTTCCAGGGAATCAGCTATCCCTAGTTTTGTGTCATCTGCAAATTTGATCATCATTCTTTGCACTTCCTTATCCAGATCATTAATAAAAATATTGAAGAGTACTTGGCTCAGTACAGAATCCTGTGATACCCCACATACAACCTCTCCCCAGTTTGAGAAGGTGCCATTGATGAATTCTCTTAAATCCAAATCTGTAGCCAACTGTAGATACACCTGATCACTGTTCCATCTAGCTCCCTGTTTACTAGTTTGATCATCTGGATATCATGGGGCACTTTATCAAGAACTTTGCTAAAGTCAATATAGATTATGTCCACAGCATTCCCACAGTCCATCAAGGAGGTTACCCAAACAACAAGTGAAATTGGATTAGTCTAGCAGGATTTGTTCTTGAGAAATCCATGTTGGCTTCTGGTAAACACTGCATTGGTTTCAAGGTGCTTGCAGACTGACTGCTTTATAATCTGCTCCAGATTTTTCCCAGAAATTGGTGTCAGACTGACTGGTCTGTAGTTCCCAGGTTGTTGTTCTTTTGTCCCCCTTTCTTAAAGATAGGGACAATATTTGTCCTCCTCCAGTCATCTAGTATTTCCCCTGTCCTCCATGACAGTGATTCTGAGTTTTTCTGCAAGCTCCTATATGACTGTAGGATGAAGTTCATTGAGCCCTGGAGAATTGAACTCATTCAACCTAATTGGAAGATCCTTGACCATTTGCCTATCAATCTTGAGCTGCCATCCTGCTTTTTCAGTTTGTACTTCTCCATCAGGAAGATCATAGATCTTCTTCTGGGAGAAGATGCAATCAGAATAGGAATACAGTACTTCTGTCTTTTCTCTGTCATCTGCTATCATTTTGCCATACACACTGAGTAGATGAACCCTCATTTTTTTCTTCTGTCTTCTACTTTGGGTCAGCTGCTATAAATAGTTAAATCAAACCTCCATAGAAAGAAATTCTTGAAATTGATTGTTAACGCACTGAGATCAACATCCATCTACCAGATATTCTCTAGTTGAAATGACAAAATAAGGAAGTTTTAGAGCCAATGTGAGTACTGTATGCTTCACATGGTAGTTATTCAGCTTCTGCAGACAGAAGCTAGCACATGTGTTGAGCATCTGAAACTGTGTGCAGCATACAGAACATGGTGTTGACTTAGCATTTTAATATCTTTCCCACCTTGCAATTTAAAATTATTGGCTCTAACCACTCTGTGTGACAAGTATGATGTACTATTGTGTCACATGAGCCCAGACCATTCCCCACAAAATGCTGTGTTTGTCGGCAACAAGTCACCCTGACAGCATTTACTTACTTAAAGTTTTTCCTTACTGTTGGGGTTGTTTAACCCATGATGGGTTGCCACATCATCCAAACCCAGGCAAGTGACTGCACTGGGGATAACAGAAAGTGATAGCAGTAAGCTACTTGGCAGTGGGGAAAAAATACAAACTTGCAACTCTTGCTAAGCTTACTAAGGCCACCCCAGAACGACACAAAACCACAAGTGCCCAAGTGGCTGTCATTGGCTAGATTTGCCCCATAAAATGTGAGTCCTTTTTGCTCTTGATCTTTTATTCTTTTAACCTTTATGTTTTCAGGGATCTCAATTTCTGATTTGACAGGCTGTTTTGCACTCTGTTTTGACAACCATTTGACATTTCCTTCAAAGTGTGCAAGCAACACACTAGAAAGGCTGTCAGTGGTTAGCAAAAAGCTTTTTTTTGCACCACAATTTGCATAAATATTTCATACAATAATGTACAAAAAGAAAAACTGGATAAATCAAACAAAATTATTTTCCAACAGTATTTGAAAAGGCATCCAAGAATTGAAGTGACTAACAAGATATTTAACTTGGTTGTAGTTACTCTGACTGAAATTTAACTCTTACCGTATTCCATTTCTCTGATCAAAGGCAGGGATCATAGAACCTGGGTGCTCTGACATGAGAGCAACAAGTAGTTGTAGGACATCCATTAAATTGTCATCCTGTGAGAAGTAGAAAGAGAGTCACATTCCAGATGACAACTGTACACATTATCTCCATATTTTTCTTCTCTTGTCATTATTTATCATAACGAAGATAATTGAGAAGAGGGGAGCTGGTTATGTATAAGCTTATTCTTCACAAAGGACCATGTCAACCAGTGGGTATCTGGAGGTGGACTCAAGAAGAATGCTCAATGCCGGGGGGTAAGACAAGAATATGGCCCTCCAGATTCAAGAAGAAAATAAATTATCAAGAAAACACAAGGAATCAGGGGGCACCAACCACCAGAAATACCTGCTGCCAGGACTGCTTTCCTGAACAACAGCCTGAGCCTTGAACTACTAAAAGAGCTGAGAACATCAACAAAGTTACCCTTAGCCACAGCACAGAGCATTTATTTTATACTTCATTTTATTTTATTTTTGCAAGCAGGCTGATTTTTAAAAAACCGCATGAACAACAGGCAACTAAGCCATCTAAAGAACCAAGAAACTAGCTCCATTTGCTCAAGGAAACTCATGGAGAAGCACCCTTGCCCTCCCCACGCTATGGAGCAAATCATTTCATAAGCAGGAGGGACTTCACAGAGCAATGTATCCTATGGCATAAATATCTGCTGTTCAAAGGTTCATTTAAAAAAATCCTACCCCAAACTCTTATGCATGCTTAAGTAGCTCCTTGGATTCCAGCCACTACATATCAGCTTAAGGGCCCACCACATTTGATGGATAGAGGTGGAGGGATGCTGAACTTATGTCTGAAAATTCTATACAACATCTGTAGTTCAGCTTCTATAAATTCAACTTATGTGAATGAGTCAGCTATGATTAACTGGGTGCAAGACTGCCACTGCGGACTATAACCCTAATCCTGAAACAAGCAGTAAAACTATGTGCAGGCAAGCAATATCAGGCTTCAATCCTGAATTTGCAAGGGGGCTCTGTTTAAGGTTTCTTCCAATGTTTTGTACATGCAGCAGTTTTGAAGCTGATGCATTGCATATTGTATAAAATGAAAACATAATGTAACAGTGCAAGAAACTATTTAGCGAAAGGCCACAAAAGTAAAAGGCAACTCCGTTACAGAGAGTACAGTTTTATAGTAGAACCCAGAAATAATTTAAGAAATAAAAAAGCATCAAAATGTACTCTAAACAATCAAAATATTTTGTTGGATGCTTAGTTTGCATAAAGATAAATCAAAGCTCTGCATTTACATATTTAATTTTCACTAAGTATATTGTCCAAATTTGACTTTCAGATGCAGTCCAGGATGAAATCTCCTGTATCTCAAGAATGCAGCTCTGTTTAAGTGTAATCTCCTAACTTTCAAAGCAAGTACAGGTGAAAGTCCAACAGGAGGGGAAATCTATACTTCTCCAAGCAAAATTCCATTGATTTTTTTATTCTACCCATTTCAAGCACCCTGAAAGGGAATTAATTTGGTTAGATTTATGCCCCAATTTTCCAACTCTTTGATGTTACATCTGGCATCAAGCACTTGCCTGGTGCTAAAATATGAAGAAGTAGATCGCCTAGTAGTAACCAACATTTATTTTCAATTATGTTTGCAAGCATGCTTTGAGTTCATTAACATCTTTATTTTTAAGTTTGCATTTAAAAAGCATTATTTATGTAAAAGGAAAAATGAGTGTAAGATCACTTAAACCACATAAAACAATCCCAGCTTTGCCATCTGCTTCTCCTCCACCCTGTGTATCAGCTCAGTGAATGAATTCATGCTTCTTTTTCCTCACGTCAGAGCCATCTTGTGGCAGGAGGGGATATTTTATTCAAAAGGTCCTGGGAAGTCAAATTGCTAAATTTAGATTACCTCATGAATGGTAAGGAGATAGTTGAGAATGCTCTGAAGTTCATCTTCTTTAACTCCATGATCCTTAACACAGAAAATCAACATGTTATAAACAAAGCATGCAAACCAATACAGAACAGAAATGGTACACTTTGAAGTAAATTCAATGCCTAAGAGATCAACAGCTTTCACGTACTGTATAACTTCAATTTTTTCAGACATGCACTATTGCTGTGTATCTTTCAGGGAATCCATGCAGGCCTCATATAATATTTCTTTAGACCTTAGTCCAAAACTTCAATCCAGTCCTTTTTCAGGAATGAATTATTGGAATGATAACACAAGTCAACAATGTAGAATTTCTAGCTAAAGGGAAAAAGAAAAACTGCCTGATGAGACAGGATACTCATATTCCAATTTTTCAAAATTCTAAGGAGAGAAACGAACACACACCTTCCTAAAATATCCAGGCTGGGGTGGGGGGAGTATATAAAAATAATCAAGGTTGTTCTGAGATAATCAGAACGTACTCTGCCTTCCATTTGGAAAATGCACATAGTAAAAGAACAGACAGAAAATTTTAATGTTCCTTTTAACAGGTGAGGAGCATATTTTCCTCAACAACTACAGTTTATCCTCACAAACCTAGCAGGCTATAACGGCTTATAATGCAGATGGCAAGAATGCTATAGTCCCGTCCTTTTCTCCATTCCAGGTTGCTCCAGCATCACCTCTGATCTTCCATGCTGCAAAAGGATTCTTTGCTAAATAAAGTTAGTCTTCTGAAGGAGGATAGGACCAATCTAATATTCATTGTTTTAGAATATTCTAACACGTATTTTGGTTAGAAAGTCCACTGTAGTTATCTATATTTGAAATCCTAAAAAAGCGATTAGAACAGGACAAAATAGCAGCTCTAATGTTGCTTCCCCTCTCCAGCATTGCAAGCTGCCAAAAAGTGACATATTGAAGAATAACACAAAAGGTGGTGAAAAAAGCCAGTTTTTCACATTATGCAAGGAGACCCATTGGTTCTCCTTATACAAACCATCTAAACCTTGAATGCTAAGCCAAAGTGGCACTGTCATCTCTGACTGCCTGAGGGTGAAGACAGACATAAAAACCCTTCTTCACAACAGTGTTCACAAGGCATACTGGCAATTCAGACTGTACATTTATATTTCTTGAAGGAAAAGTCTATTTATTCTGCTTAAATACATGTCATCTTAGCCTCTTTGGAAAGTCAAGCCTATAGCAAAAAGAATTAAAATCCATTGAGGGAATGAATTTATTATGCTGTTTTAAATTTTGTACGCCAAATTATTGTTATGCAAATTAGAGGTAATAGACCAAGCATTGTTACACATATTTTATTGTTATGCATAGCTTCAGGAAATATCAAGTCTTAAAGTACTTGTACTAGCTGAAACTCAAAAGCCATTCTTACACAGATTCTTATGCAGATTCAAGCTTTCTGACGGTTTTCAACCAAACTCAGGGTTTTTTATATGTAACATTTCCCTTTCCAGAAGCACTGGGGTAAAAACTGACCCCTTTTGAGACTAGCACTACACTTCGTATTCATGAGGCTGAAGGTAAAAACTGAAAAGAGGCTACATGTACACCTGGGGAATTTCATTTCTTCAGCCAGAAGATATAGAAAGGGATGGAAAAAGTGATGGAAAAACAAGAACGTGCATGAAGGATGAATTGATTTTTGGATGAATTGTTTTTTGCCACGGACAGCAAACTACCATGCTCATATTAGTTGTATTACATCATAGGGCTCACTGCATGGATGTAGATGATAATTAATCTTCATGCTGTATGCTGTAGAAGGAAATGTTATAATGAACTTCAGAGCAGCTGTGCTGTATTAGAAAGGTCTATCTAGTTCTAAATTCTGTTTTTGTTGTTATGTTTAATTGTCTCCCACTTGACTCTGTGAATAAATGCCTTCCAAACTTTCTTTCCCTTGACACCCTGCTCAGCAATTGTAAACTCAAGGCTGTGGGTTCCTTTATGGAACCAATCTGCCTCATATTTGGCCCTCCTCCTCCTCGTCGTCCTCTTCTTCTGCCTTCAACTTTACCGGGCATTATGGCCTTCTCCAATGAGTCTTGCCTTCCCATGATGTGCCCAAAATACAGCCTCAAGTTATGTCATGTCATTTTTCTTTCCAGGGAAAAATCTATCTTGATTTGATCTAGGACACACTTATTCAGAGAGATAAACCTGATTCCTGTGGGAAGATCACATATAGGCATAGAAGCAATAAAACCCTTCACTAATATTCCACAGCAGTTGATGTCAAAAGACATGCCATCCTGCTAAGCATAACTAGTAGCCATTAGTAGGCTTATTGTCCAAGAGTTTGTCTAATGTGCTTTTAAAGCCATGTTGGTGACCATCTCCACACCTCATGACAGCAAATTAGCATTATCTCCACAATACTTGAAGAAACACTTGGTCTGTCCTAAATCACCTACTGTTTAGCTTCAATGGATGGCCGTTTCCCTATCCACTTTCCCCACGCCATGCGCAATTGGTAGCACACTCCTTACCTTCATCACCAACTGCTTAACAAACATCAGTAAAAAGGCTCGTAGAGAAAGAATCTCTTTCTGATCAGGTCGGGGTCCATCTTAATTTGAAAGAGATGGGGTATTTTAGACCATACATTATACAACTTGAGTTTCTCATAATACAATTACAATAACTGCCCCTTTTCAATCTCTCACCACAGACACACAAGAATTGATGAATTTAGTTTATATTCTCAGCTACATAGAATGTTTCAAGCATAATTCATTCTGTTTAAGTGTAGGTTTCAAACACTAACTAAAGCCATAACAATCCTATGCCAAAAAAAATTCATCCAAATCAGTTTCAATTTATGTGTTGGTTTGCCACATCCTGTGTCTCCTCTCCACATGAAAAATACTTTATCTGATATGTAAACTTGCTATATATTTTTTCAAGGAAAGAACCATGAAAATAGACTATATTCATACTTATTCTTATGCATACATCATGCAAACTCTATGCACACTGTGAATTCCATTGTAAAAACATTTGTGTGCATTTCCTTCACATGGAGGTAAGCTCTGACGCTAAATAAACTAGTTGAAATACGCTATTCTGCATTTCTATAAATTTGTAATTTATATCTGCATGTTATGAAATGCCGTAAGAGTTACAAAATACCTAAAAAGTCATTGATTTTTTAAAAGGCACTACTGCTTCTTGTCATTGATTTTATTTACAGGCAGCCAAATCAGTTCACAGTAAGAAAAAAAAAATTCTAAGCCTAGAAATTCTAAAATTTCAGAGTTTAATATTTCAAATCTAAAAAGAGAAGCTGTTGACACTGAAGTTGCAGCAGCATACGCTTATGGAAGGAGGCAGATTTTGTATCCAGGCTAGATTCAAAGGCATCTTTTGCTGGCAGAAAGCACTTCTCTTGCATAAAGCAACCTCCCTGGATTCTGGCACTTTCTTATTAATGCTGCACCTGCTGGTGCCCTATCCTTCATCATCCAGAATGCTCCTTCAACCCTTAGATGTGGGCTTTGGGTGAGAGCGCTGGAGGCCCCAACCGGGGCGGGGGGGGGGGGGGGGGTTGCACAGCAAAGGATCAAGAAAAGCTCTGCCATATATAGTGCAGCTCACACATTCCTGATCCAATCTGCAGTCTTTGCAGTCCACACATGCTATACACATTGGCATGCTCTGGTTTCCCCTCCTGTTATGAAAGGGTTGATGAAGGAAGCACCTCATCTTGACAGATTTCACTCCCAGATCTTTATGATCCCAGGCAGCCGTATAAAAAACTGCTGTGTTCTTTACAAAATAGAGGAGCTTGGAAAGGTTGCTCCTGGTAAAACAGATATCAAAAAGCTATTGTTTAGGGCCAGTCCTGGTATACACAAAAGTATAAAAGGCCTAGTCCATATATGCAAGTTTCTGTTCACAATTTAAAAAAGACACAAATATACTGATCTTCTCCTAGCTGTAGCTTCTTTTAGAAAAAGTGGGGGAAACACTGGAGCAACTTGCCACTCTTTAAGAAAATCACTTCAAGAAAAACATGCTACATAGAAAATCTTTTGAACTATTTGATGGATTAGAAATATAATAAACAATTAAATAATCTTAAACAAATGTAAAACACAAATCCACAGAATAGACAGCTCTCCTACAAATTTACTGTACTTATTTACTGGGTTTTTTTTTAAATTCCATAATATTCCTGACAAATAGAAGGTACGCTTCTACTGCATTCTGAGGCACCCTGATGAGGAGTTATAGATATGTGCTTGAAAAGCATTGATATGTTTCTGTACTTACTGAAGTTCTCCCTGTTTCTACCTTCCTAACTCAGTTCCACAAGTAAGCAGAGTATCAGTATCAGCCCCTCTACTGAAGTACACAAAGCTTGTTAGAATGGCCAAGACATCAGCTTCTTTACCATTTCTATAGGATAGCCATGTCAGTTTGTTGCCAATAAAAACAACAACAAAGAATCTTGTGGCATCTTAAACACTACCATATACAGTGGCATAAGCTTTCATGGGCGCAAGTCAACTATGCTCTATGAAACTCTTATGCCATAATACATCTATTCATCTCAGCACTTTCACAAGCTTCTTCACTATCTTTTTTCTATATTCACACCTCTTATCTAACAGAATTAGAACAAGACTCTGAAGAGGACAGAGATTAAACTCATGTCTCAAATATCCTGCCTCTACCACAATGAATTTTAAAATATTTTTTGTGATTTTTGATGACAAAGACAAACACACAAACATGGCAGCAGTTTGTAATATTACTTAGTTGATTAAAGTAGGAAGGTTTATACATACCTAACCCTTTGGGGACAATTCCACTACGATCTTGTGGATTTACTACCCAGTAATAATACTTCAGTGTGTGCATCACCAGTAGAACTGTCCCAACTCGTCGAATTGCATTGTATATGTTAGCTGTGCCAATGAATTCAGAAGACAGGTATGTGTACAGGATCAGCTGAACCTACATTACGAGGTTAAGAAAAGAAGAGGTTAACCAAAATGTCATACACATGAGAAAATAAAGCACCAGACATAGAGACAGCGCAGGACAGCAATCTTATATGTATTTACTTGGAAGACGCTTTGAATTGAATGGAGCGTCTGAATAAACATTTCAGGATTTCACTGCACTTGTACCTAGCTTGAGAGCTGGGATAATCTGGTGTAGCCTTTTAAGCTTCTCCGTGATCTTACATGCAGAGGTATGTTCAGGCACAGGACAAAGCAGATCAGCAAATTCACGTGTGAGCCAGTGTGGTGTAACAGTAAAGAGCATGAGACTGGGATTCAGGAGATCTGGGTTCCAGCCCCCACTCACCATGAAGCTAACTGGGTGACTTGAGCCAGTCACAGAATCTCAGCCCAACCCACCTCACAAGGCTGTTGTTATGAGAAGAAGTTGAGAGGAGAAAGAGAATAATGTAAGCAGCCTTGAGTTTCTTGAAAGCAAAAAAGGTGGGATGCACATATAAATAAATAAACCAAATATGCCTCTAGAACTAGGAGTTCCTGATTTTAAATATCTGCATATAATTATGTTGTCCTTCTGAGCAATCCACCAATCCACACAGATGGAAACTGTCTTACCTTGGCTGGAGTATGAATCCATATTGCAGGGTTAAGAAGAATATTATCACACAGCTGCTTCAGTAAGGGCACACCATGGTGCAAATTGCTCAGATATTTAGCAAAGGCAAGGCAAAGTTCTAGCACAGCTCTGTTAATATGTGCTTTGGAAGACTGCAGAAACAGAGAGAGAATAGGTTCAACTGTAGAAGATGGTTAACAGGACTAAACTAAACATAAAACACGTAATACTCAAAACAGAAGGTAGGGAGCAAGCATCAAGTTTCATTTACCTTTTCAAGACTGTATCCTATTACAAGGAAGCCCTTACAGGAAAGCATTTGTTCTTGCATAGCAATTGAGTTCTTCAGCAACTCCATTATGAAAGCCAGTAGAATGGAACTTAAAAACAAAAAAAATACAGCATTTTAAAGGAGGATGGATTTACTGTTTTAAAAGCAGCACAGCACTTTTTCTGGTTAAATTTCTGATATATTCTTCTCCTCCTTTCAGCACCACAAAGTATCAAGTAGCTCCATTTTTATCCTTGCAATAAAACTACTGAATATGCACATGTTGTTATAGTTCTGTCCAGGTAACCACAATTACCCCATGATGATTGTTTGGACCCCCTTCCCAAAATCAGCAGAAATTAGGTATACATCCATGAACACTGCTGTGGAAGACTTCACACAGTGAACACCATCACAATATGCAAATAATGGTGCATGATATAGTTTTTGATGTATAGATAAGGTACATTTAAACATACAGTGTGTTGTCACAGACAGAAGGTGATTCATGTTCTGGAAATGTTCCGTCTTACAAAGCAAGATGCAAAGGCCAGTATGTACAAAGTTCCCATTGCAAACCTGCTCTGCAATGAGGTTCTATCTCACTCATCCACTAGTTTTTATTTTGCAACTAGGAAGAGATATAGAATCTAGTAAAACATCACACTACCTTGTGCAAATGATTGCACAAGAGTAACCTCTAAAAGGATAATTAAGCTAATTCCTTTTATCCAGCCGTCTTCACCTAATTTGAAAGTTTGGCTATTCTCCAAGTATTTCAGGCACATTATGTGATGACAAGGGAAAGGATCTTCTATGTGGTCACCCCCAATTGTGGAACGTCCCCCCTATGGGGGTTCAAACCAGTGGCAACAGTGCAATTATTCTGGAATCAACTCAAACCCCCTTTTGTTTGATCAGGCATTTTAATTAATCAACATGATCAGTTTGGGGGGTTTGTCTTGTATTTGCCTTCTCTTATTCCAGTGATAGCCGTTTTATTGTGTTTTACCAGATCATTGTATTTTTATGGTACTTTTGGTCAGACTTACATGCAGTACCCTGATATCTATAAGGCTGAAAGGCAGTTTTAAAATAGTTTAAGAAAACAAACAAGCAGCCATTCCATGAGCAGAAGATATATCCTTATGGAAGGGTACCTTTGGGTTCATTTTTATACCATATGATAAACAAGTGTCTCTCTAGGTGATATGACAAAGTCTAAATAACATAAAAACAAGAACAGAATAAGCTCATACATTTGTTCAACTGATATATCCCTAACTATGGATATATCATTCCTTCTGCTCTCATTAACATTCCATTAAAGGTCAGCTAAAAAGTACACAAAACATGGAAAACACAGAAGCACAAATTCCTTATACTTCCACTACCTCCTTGGTCTATAATATCTGAACAGAGTATCACATTTGTACTGATATTTTGAGCTTTTGGAAAACAGCATATCTTAGTTCAAATGGTACAGCAGAAGTATAGAATCAGAAATAGAAGTCTTAAATTGCCAAGAGCAATACAGATGGAAGACCAGGACATAGGATTTGTGTTATTTAAAGAAATTTTGATTCACTCCAACTTCCCAACATTTCCGTAAAATGTTTTCTCTAAAATAGCTAGAAGTAGGAATTGTTTAAAATGCTTCTGCATTAAAACACACGTTAACAAAGTCAATTTTATATCCTTTACTATAGAACATCATCATTAGTTGTGTGAAAACATCTAGTCTTTGTTTCTGACAGTTCCACAGTGCAAGTTGAAGTAGTTTGGATATACAAGACATCTTTCAATGATCAAGCACTTGCCCAGGAAGATAAACTCTCCTTCATTAGAACCAGCAGCTCTGTAAAAAATAACCTCACACACACTTTGACAGGAAGGAATTCATCCCTGAGAAAGAGATTTCCCATATCCCCCCTCCATAAATTACATTGCTACTGAATGATGTATACATTTGTATAGAAGACCCGGTGCCAATAATCTTGACTTCATCTCAAGGTCTTCTCTGCACAAGAGATTTAACATGATCTAACCTTGAAAGTATAAATAATGTTCCCAATGCTGCAATATAATTGCATTATTTGGTGATAATTTTCCCCCCATAAAGCTAAACTGGCTCTCACGACATCTTCACCTTGGCTCTATTTAGATGTGCAAGTCCATCATTTAGGACACATTTTATCTCCAGCTTACTATATTTATCTGGAGAAACATTTCCCAACTTAGGCTGTTCACAGTTGCTGTTTAGTCCTATTGAACAAACACACATAAGAAAGCTTTAGGTATTGGAGATTACTAATTTCCTTACCATTAAGACATGCAAAAAATATACTGGGTATATGGCAAAGAGGATAAAAATCTCTTACCAAACAGTTGTGTCAGGTTGATCCAGAGAATGCTGCCTATAATCCAGCTGTGCAAACAGGGGGAAAAGAACCTGTACTCCTCCAATTGAATGCATTGCACTTTGGATAGAATGGGTTACGACTGCTTTTACATCCTGTTAATGCCAAGTTTGAACAAATTATGCATGGATACTGCTTTCATTTATAATACACCCTGAATGTTTCAATGGGATCTCTATGCATTATACTGATACTTGTTGACATGACACAGAACATGAGGTCACTTGAACATGTGAGATTACAAGAAACTTCAAGTAAGGGCAGTTAAAATAATTGTAGGAATGAAAAAATCTATCAGGCTTTAAAAGCACTTGGACTGTTTAGCTTTAAAAGAGAAAGAAAAGCCAGAGAATGTGTAACTACACTCAACAAAACATTGCAGTATGGAGCATACCTTAAATCTGAATAAAACAGATGGGGCCTCAGTCTTTTAAAAGACTTACAGACAAAGCAGAACACCACAGTATCCAAGGGAAAGAAAGCAAAAGAAATCCCAATTGCCTTGAGCTTGAAAACAGGCATGCCAAAATACCTGTAGCATGAGAGCATGTGGTGAATGAACAAAGATTGAAGCATTTTCCTTGGGTGATGATTCTAGACAGAGCTGAGCATCTGTAGCCCTTGGATTGTATGTAAAGGCAATAGCATTAGAAAGTTTCCCATCATACAGTAGCAGTTTGTGATGGTCAGCGAGGAAGAGATCACTTTCTCCCTTGAATTTAAAAGTTCCCTAAAATGGAAGCACATTTTTTCAAAGAAATGTTCAGTTAGAACACAATTAAGAAGAACATTTTCACATGCAGCCAAATATTTCAAAATGCTGATGCTCATTGCTGGGCCAATTGCCCATTAGGGGTGCAAAGAGATGCTTTTAGACATAGGATTTAAATTGTGTTTACTTATTTAAAGTATAATTTTTGATACATTGTCATCATTCTTTCACAGAAGAAGGAAATACCCTTTGGCAGGATGGTCTGATTGCCACACTCTAGAGCAGTGATGGCGAACCTATGACACATCATTAGCTGCAACTCCCCGAGCATTCACATGGCCGGTCAGTGAGCTTCCAGGGATTTGCATGGACTGTGATTTTAGTGGGATGCAGGTGGTGCAGTGGTTAAAACTGCTGTGCTGCTGGGCAGGTTGATCGAAAGGTCACCAGTTCAAGTCTGCAATGAACTGTTGTGATTTTAGTGAAAGGTAAGAAATACACTCAGGTAGGAAATACACTCAGATGCCTTTTTCAGGGCCAGCCAAAAGCTGGTGGTCAGTGGAACACTGCCCCCTTGTGCTGGTGGGTCAGCAAATTCAGGTTTTATTGCAGTGTTGGCACTTTGTGATAAATAAGTGGGTTCTGAGTTGCAATTTGGGCACTCGGTCTGTAAAAGGTTTGCTATCATTGCTCTAGAGCAGGGGTCTCAAACTCAACTTACCTGGGGGCCGCTGGAAGTAGAGTCTGGGTGAGGCTGGGCCGCATCAAGTATTCCACCACCGCGGTGGTGGTGGGCCACTCATCCCGCAGCCAGCCCGGGTGCCGCCAGCGCTTTGAAGGCTGCAGGGCCCCTCTCCCGTGCCCCGCCCGTCCCAGCAATTGGCCCGCGGGCCACGAGTTTGAGACCCGTGCTCTAGAGTAAGACACATGTGCTTGTATTTGCAACAGCTGTTTGAACTCTCACAGCTAACCCATAGGTTAGTATTCCAGGGATATACTACTAGAAGCTTTGTGCTCCTGCACTCCCCCACTCCAACACAGCTGAAAAGAAGAGTTAGAAATTGTCACATTGAGATTAAACATCATACTCGAATGTGTCATGTCATTTGAACCTGACAAACCATGGTTACTCTTCATTATGGTTGTTGAAGCCAGGCAACTTTAAAAGGTGGGTTATAAAGCTGGCCTGTTTAGAACACTCATAGTTAAGATTAAACAGAGTTTAGAGTTCAAAAAGCACACTGATCTGTGGTTATTCTAAAATGGAAGCTTTCAATTGCCTCTTGCAGTTTTTTATGGCTTTTTCTTGTAAAGCTATGCTGTTCCACATAAAAATGCTTCTTAAATTGTGCACAGCACAGGATCTGATTCTTTGGGGTAAATAAATTATAGAAATGAAGCTGTGTATAAGAAGTTATAACAGAATAAGAAAACAATCCTTGGAAACCATATCCAACATGAGATACATGTGTCTACTATTTCCAGCATGATATAATTACACAAAGAATTAATAAATAATTGCTGCCATTTTTATTCTCTTCTTTCTCACATGTTTTTATTTACTGAAAATATTCAGTCAAGTGGCTGGCTGAATCAGTATTATATAGTTATTTCTTGCTTTTTGCATTTCAAAAAAATCAAATATTTTCCAAGCACAATTTCTGTACCGATTTTATAAGTATTTCATCTCCATTTGCAATTAATACATTCTGCACAGTTTGAACAAAAGAAATCTATATATAGCTTTCATAAGTGTTATAATCAATATGAAAGGAAATTGCTACAATTTTTAAGTTTGTCAACTCTATGGAAATAAGATACTTTTATATGCTGCTAAGACTATACATACCTTGTATCCCAGACCAAGTTGATAAATAGCAAAAATCTGAGCAGCGTTGAGGGCCTCACTGAAAAGATAAACTGCTGTCATCTGGCCACAAAACACTCGATTGGCATCTGCTGTTTCTGAGGAGCCCAGGAAACATTTGTCAAAAGTCTAGGAAAGCAAACAAAGTATTTAAGTGATCACAAAAATGGTTCAGTGTAAGCAAATCTAATATAGAGCTTTGGTACATGCACACAAACACTCTGTAGCAGGGTAAGTACCCAGTAACTTTAAGACAAGACAAGATTCCATAATCTGTGCATATGGAAAACTCTTTCATAATAAATATAAAAGTACCCCAGCACTCTCCACATACACATCTGATATCTGTATACTTTTGGAGTAAGGAAACACAAAATTCTACTTTTTATTTATTGTTACACTAAGATAGGGATAGTCTATTCATTACTAGGAGGGCATATTTTTATTTATTCTATTTGATTTATAATATGTGCATCCCTCTAAGTATTAAACACTGCAAAGAAGTTTACATTTAACACATTAATATTAAATGCACATCTGAAAAACAATTTTAAAACAATTCTAATAACAACAACAACAACAACAACATACAGCATTAAAGCAACAGTAAAATAGAGTGCCATGGTTGATTTCATTACAAGCTGGGGAAAGCTTAGAAGAGCCAGTGTGTTTTCAGAAGGCATTTGAAAGCTACCACATCTTCTGCCTCCTGAGCTACATGAGAATGTTTTCTCCACAAGGTAGATGTCGCTACAGAGAAGGCTGGCCATCAAGGTATTACACTGCAACATTCCTGCAATTTTGGAATAAACAGGAAAGCATCCACTGGCAATCTGAAAGGTTGCTTGTGCGTATATAAGAGAAAATAGTCTGCTGGATAGCCTGGTCTTAACTTGTTTAGGACTTTGTATGTCATGAACATAACATTGAGCATGACATGGTAGTTAACAGGAAGCCAATGCTGTTTTTTCTTTTTTTAACTCAGATGTGAAAATGGTCCCACTTCAGAAAGCAGGGTTGGACAAGAAAGGAAAAAAGAGGCCTTGGAGAGCTGCTGCCAGCTGAAGGCACCAACATTGGGATAGTTAAACCAAAATCCTGTCCAAAAGGTATAAGGCAGCTACCAATGTGTTATTTTAAAATGGAAAATGACACTGGAGCAATTTCTTAACATAACATAACCAGTTTCTCTGCTCCAGATGTCTTAAGGGCACAGCCATGGACTAGCTACTTGCCACTCCCTATCCTCTTCGATACATATTTACTTAAGTGCACTATTTTATTTTAGTCACTATGGCCATGGAAAGGTAGCTTATTAGGCTGCTAAATTAGCTTTTGTACTCCTGACCCTTTAAGGCAGGTTAATATCACTTTAAACAATAGTTGCTCTTCAGTTGTTTCCATAGTCTGAAAAGTTAAGGGACCACTAAAAGATTTTTTTTAATTCCCACACACATTTTACTTCACCTTGTCCCCCTCAGTATAAGCAACAAGAGAGAAAGGAGCAATGAGAATACAGACAGAATTTTGAACCAACTTACATCACTCGTATTGACAAACCATGTTATCTCTCCATAAGATGCCAGTTCTCCATTCACATAGCATCTAAGCTCACTGTTCTTCCACCGGTTATAGATGTGCACTATAGTAACCATGTACCACTACATAAGAAATGTAGATGTTAGTTTAAATTTAAATGACGGTGAGGTCAGCATGTTGAAAACAGCGTGACACTTAAAATGAACAGAAATACTGCCACCAAAACTGTTGAAATTTAATGACAATAAATCAAACTAATGTATCTTAACAAACCTGATAAATCAAACTAATATATCCAAGCAAACCTGATTTGGGCAGGGGAAGGGGTAAGCACGCTAATCCTGAATATTTTCACCCACGTATCTAGGCTGTGTCGTGATGACTGTTAGCATTTACTATAAGAAATGTTCCTTGAAACGTGGAGTTTCCCCTAACACACCAAATATCTAATTTCATCGACTGAGAAATACAGCTGCATATCCCTCTGAACTAAAACACAACTTTAAAAACCTAGTAAAATCACCTTAAGAAAATGTAAGATGATAAGGGGAAAAATGACATGAAAACTAGAAAGTACATAATTACTCGTAAGCAATAGGTTTATTTTTATTGGACATACTAAATGTTTTCCTTTGTTTTAACATACATCATATGCTAGAATGTTTTCCTTTAAAAAGGGCCAGAGTGCAAAGATAATGACAATACCAGCCTGCTACTAGACCCATTATCAGAAAGACCTATGGGAAAGAGGCTACAACTACAATATTAGCATGCATTTTACTTCCTGGGATATTTGCCAGGACAACTCCCTTGAATTTACCTTTTGTGGCTTGAAATCAAACTTCACACAGTGCTGGAAGCCTTTTCCTTTTGATTTAATTGAGGTAACAACCAAACAGCCTCCAACAAAATGAGCAGAATAACCAAGTCCTTTGCTTGTTCGAAAACTGTAGCAATGTATTTAAAATGGTTAGGGTCACAATTTATTTGCATTTTGTGGTGAAATACAAAGATGAAAGCAAGTCCACAAGAAATAAATTATACATACATACCAATATAAGTAAGGCTTGTCTTTGTCTACATTGATATTATTTACAGGGTCCATTCTTAACCAAGTATGAAAAGTAAAGCCATTCTGGTAGGGCCACTTGGCTATAGGAGGTAAGGCAATTGCCTAGAAAAAGCAAGTTAATCAAATAACATGCATTACAAAGGATTTACACCATCAAGATAGAGTAGAATTGATAATAAATTGTGTCTGTTTGCATATGAACCATAGGACAAAGATTTTTTTCCTCTTATTGACACTTCTTTCACATTTAAAAAAATCCAGAATTGATTGCAACTGTTTTGTAATTTGTATGGTCAGAGATGCTGCCCAGAAGATCAATACAAATGAACAAAAACTTCAAAGAATATGAATGCCAACAGGCTCCTTGTGATCTTACTAAAGTCTGTAGCTATCCCTCCCTGAAGACATCCCATAAATCCTTCTAGAGATGATCTTGTATGGTGATAATGGATTCCATGAAGCATATATGACTGCAATACATTTTAACTAACATTATTGATTAATGTAACTTTTATCTTAGTAAGATTCATTTTCTGATATTTTATGTATCTATCAAAGACTGAATTTCAATATTGTAACATTTTGCCTTATTATTTATTTCAATTTATTGATTTTTAATACCCAGATAAAAGTTCATAAAACCCAATGGATAAAATTTGTCTTTTATATTACTAAAGAAAATATTTGTTTTTATTTTTGTATCAATGTTTCAATAGAGGAACTATTACTTTTGCTAGTATTTAAAAAGCCATGAAATAGTAATGCAGGATAGTATAAATACAGTAAATATATTGGGGGGGGGGGTTCAATAATTCCAAAAGATGTTTAAAAACAAAAACAAAATAAGCTCTTAATTAAGGGTGTGCCTATACGCATCAAAAGTGAACAGATGTGAAGAACCACCGTAACTGACCATAGGAATCATTCCCTGTATTGCTGAGAAAGATAAACACTTATTTTTAATAATAGTTAGTATGGAGTTATAGGGCAATTTCTTCTAGAAATTGTGGAAATTGCCCAGTTTATTTTGGGGTTTCTTGTTTTTTTCCAGAAAAATATTTCTAACCAAATCAGAGTTACTTTAAGATTTCCCTGCTCTTAAGAATGATAAGGAGGAAGCAAAATGAGCAGACACACAGGAGTTAATATAGTACAATAATCTCATTTTGAAGTAAAAAAAATCCTAGGACAGTGGAATCAGGTCCAAAAGAACATGCACCAAACCCAACCCTACTCATCAAAGCAGGCAAATCAGCTTATTGTTGTAAATACTTTATAACAGGCAGCTCATTTTACTTAGCAAATACAAAATCTTAATGTCCAATCATATATTTTCACCTATGGCTGGAACATTACATTCAAGTTTCCTGTGCATTCAGTGTTTTCCAAACAAGGTTTACTGGTAGTTTGTAGTACATTCTGAGTCTGGCTCAGTTAATGCACTGTAGCACTTGCTACACATATGGACAAGTCACAGCCCTTGAAATACACTGCTGCCACCCCTGCCTTCTTTCCCAGTGTGACTGTGTTCCTAACAACTTGCCAAAAACCTGTTTGTCTGTCTGTCCAGGAACAGTTTAAATCAAATAGATGGCTCCTGGGGAAAGTCATCCTGGCACACAGCCGTCACATACAAAGTTCATGTGGATAGCTGAGTCGAACATGCCATTCATCAGCTCACATGGTCCCCAAGGGATCAAAGAGTTCCCATCCCCGCTGCACTACTTATTTTGTACATCAGTGGTTTGGTATTAACAAATCATTAGCTGTTTTTACATAATTAGGAAAGCATTCATCAAAAGCATTTTAAATTTACTATTCCTTGAACATGAGCAGTGGTTTCAGTTTTGGAACTGGGTACAGGGAAAAACGTTTGCAGTACTTTTTTCTCTAACCTACTATATTTGTTTGTGGAATAAAGGGTCAAAAATTAAACTGTCAATAGATATAAATAAAATAAAAAAAGAATAATGAGAAAACTACAAAAGGAAGAAAGCCACTTACTGCAGCACTTTTTCCTGGAAAATTGAAGAAGGCATCAGGTCCATACTTCTGAGGCATATGTTTTAATACAGACAACAACTTCCCAGCGTGTGGTGGCTATTGAGAGAATTATTGCTCAAATTAATTCAGTATTTTAATACAAAAGCAAGTGAAAAGTGATTGAACATAATTATCCATCTGAGGGTTCTAGCAGTTTACAGATTTACACATTACAATAATACTGTTAAGCATCCATCAGTCATCATATATATCTTATTATTGTTATATCTGCGTGACTCAGGCTTAACACAGTGCAAGCTCTGAGATAGTGACAAAGATTAGCTTTGTCTACAGACATCCACAAAGTTGGCATATTACTACCTGGTTAAATTTTCCATATAGTTTCTAGATAAAAATATATTAACTATTTATTTATTTTATAGACTATCCCATTACTAATGTCTTGGGAATCAACCATTGCAAAATGCAATGAAACCTCTTTCAATGAAATAAAAAGCCATGATTGCTAAGGCAGAGTTCTACTTACCCATTTTCCTTTGTCTCCTTGAAGTTTGCTAAAGTACAACTTTAATTCCCGGACTGTCACACTGTAGCTTGCTAATACACCCAGCATATCGACTAGGAGATCTAAGGAAAGTGAGTTATTAGACTTGTATTAATGCCCTTCTATATTTTATTTTACCAATAAAAAAGATAATGAAAAAGGTTTTTCAATTAAGTGCTACCAGCGTGACTTCCAATTCAAGGGCCACTTAAGGAGCCATACCTGCAATCATATTGTCAGTCTTATCAATCCTCTGAAGTACATGCTCAATGAGACCCCCTTCTGTGCAAATCTGGAGATTCCGTATACTTTTCTTCAGGATGGCTGTAAACATACTCCATACCTCAGCCTGGCATGTGACATCACACTTATCCAACAAGTCCACCATGCAAGTAATACTCTCTCCTTCTTGTATAATAAAATTCATTTCCAGATCAAAGTGACCTCCTACAAGCTTCAATTTAAAAAGAATGAATATTAGTATTTTTTTCTCTCTTCAAGAATTGTCTATTTAAAATTTACAATACTCAATAGGGGCATTTCTTCTTTGAGGCTACATGCCAAATATATGAGTGGACACAACTAGAAAATTTTGATTAGACCGGACAATTAATTAACTAAGTAAGTGGCAAAACAGCTCCATTCATGCATACTTGGAAGTAAGTCCTACTGAGTTTAATGGAACTTACGCCCAGGTAAGTGCATGTAGAATCACTTCCTGAATAGTACATTTCACATTAACAATCTACCATCTGGAATGAATGTATATAAGAAGTCCATACTGAAATAAGAAAAAGGTTGTGATTTCACTTGTTTTTCTAGGATTCTGCAGTATATATGTTAGCTTTCTTCTGTACCTATTTTCAGAGTTTAAAACCATTGCTAATCTATGATAGATGCTCACTGTACACTCCTATGCATACATACTCAAACTAGGCCATGCTATGTTCAGTAGGATTTACTCCCAATTAAGTGCATTTAAAAATTGCAGTCAGTCCTGGACACTATGCTCCCAATCCAAAGAAGAATGATCGGAACAATGTCCCACTGAAATGAGAGGAAAAACTATCCAGAATTTAACTTGTCCAGCTGATTTCAATGAGCCTAAAACATGACAAAGCCTAATCCTATGCACATTTACCTGAGAGCACACTTAACCCGACAAACAAGTAAACATGCAGAGTTGCACTGTGTTTGTTTGTGATATTTATATGCCGTTCTATTGCAAAAGCCTCAGGACGGCTTACATAATAAAATACAAATATCAATATAAATAAATTATAACAAAGTGTCAACAACATAAACAAATTGACCCACTCTGGCTGCAGTTAAAATATATTAAAAATACCATATTAAAACTTATTAAATTATTGATGTAATAAAAAGGTCTTAACTTGGCACTGAAAAACATAATGACGGCACCAGGCGGACCTCTCTGGAGAGCACATTCCATAGATGGGGCGCCACCACAGAGAAAGCCCTCCTCCGGGTACTCTGTCTCCTAATATCTTTCACAGAGGGTTCCTGGAAGAGGGCTTCTGCTGCCGATCTCAAGGGGTGAGAGGGCAAATAGGGAAGAAGGCATTCCTTTAGGTATCCAGGTCCCAAGCCATTTAGGGCTTTACAGGTAATAACCAGCACCTTGAATTGAGTCCGGACTTCAATGGGAAGCCAGTGGCGCTGACAGAGGACTAGGGTTATATGAGAATAACGCCCAGTCCCTGTCAGCATCCTGGCAGCTCTGTTCTGCACCATCTGAAGTATCTGGACTGTCTTCAAGGGAAGCCCCATGTAAAGCGCGTTACAGAAATCCAACCAGGAAGTAACCAATGCATGTGTCACTGTTGCTAGGCAATCTTCCTCCAGGTAGGGACGCAGCTGATGGATTAGCCGAAGCTGAAGGAAAGCGCTCCTCCTGTATGTTGCTCTTGACTGAGAAAGGCAGACTTCTTGTAACTGTAATCCTTGGAGTGGTCATCTATGCATTTGGGTTCTGTGCCCACAGAATTGCATTCCAGAGACTATTATAGCTTGACTTATATCCTATAACTATACTCTAGCCAGACAAGAACCTTGCCCTTACACACTTACCCAATACATGCTCAGATAGCATGTTCTCAAGAAGCTTAGTTCCCCAGAGCAGCTATGAAAAGAGAGGCTAAGTGGAAATATAGGCATAAAAGCACCTTTAGCAGGGGATGAAGATGTGTACTATAACTGCACAGATGACCACTCAAACATCTGGTCATCTGTACTGACACTTACAAGCAACTTGTCTTTCTTTTCGTTTGGCAAGTCCTGGATATGGCTAGATTAGCAGGCTTAATGGAGGCAGGGCAGACATTCAGAAGCCAATTTGCTGAGCATGGCTTTCCCAAGGAAGCACTGGATGGCTAGTCGATAGTGGTAAACAAATATTGCAGAGGCTGTGACAGCTCTAATGAAATGAGCTAATGATCACTGTGGGACTGGGAGCTTGACCATGTACAGTGTTTTATTATGTATTTATTTTAAACTTTTGCACCGCATCCTATACATAAAAGTCTTGGGACGGTCCAACAACAAAGGCACAGCCTTATATCTATGATAAAAGCCCAACTAAAATAAAAATGTAGTTTTAACATAATGGGAAAATAAGAAGTACACACAGGCAGCAGACTAAAGTCCACCATGGTAAGCACTGAGGAGAGACTGATTATACCTTCTGCACCTTTTCTCACAGCAGAGAAAAAACCTGAAAGGTCCCCACTTCAGATAGACTGCATGAGCCCAACAAGCATTGATGGTATGTAGGCAGGCTCTAGGGCAGTGGTCCCCAATTTTTTTCCGGCTGCCACCCCCTTTACTCCAGGGTGACAACTCTAAAGTTCCCAGGCCTCTTTCTTTGTTTTAGGTCTATTGCTAACCTGCAAATTTAAAACAACCAATCACCGCCCTCCTGGATCCTTCCACTGCCCCCAAGGAAGCAGTACTGCCCACTTTGGCAATCACTGCTCTAGGGGAATGGGGGAAGAAAATAGGACGTTTCAGGTGGAATAGACACACCATTTTGAGAAGAAAGGGAATATCCAGCCTCAGGATCACTTTATCCCTTTTCAGGAAGAGGAATGGTGGGCATACCAAAGCATACACAGCCCCCCTTGTTCTAAAAGCAGAATCTACTGCCTGCAGAATGAGGACAGAACAGGATAGAAACTGAAGAGAACATAGCTCACAGAAAAGCTATGTTAGCTGTGCAAGAACAGACACCAAGAAGAGGTGGGTGGTGAGATAGTGTCTTGCACATATAGGTTAAACAAACATTTTATGGAGCACTTAGGCTAATAAATTGAACTCAATCCAGACAAGACTGAAATGCTGTCAATGGGTCATTCATCTGAAAGAATGGTGTACATCCTGTTCTGGATAGTTTGTAGCTTGGGATTTCTCCTGGGGACATCATTAACACTTGAGTTCAGAAGCACAATGGTGCTACTCATAGCTCATCTGTGCTGCTATCACTACAAAGGCTTCAGTAGTCTATGCTCTGGCAACCTCCAACCCATTTCACCGGCTGTCTGTACACTTCCAAGTCCAATTCGTGGTGTCAGACTTGACCTATAAAGCTTTATGTTGCTCAGGACCACAATATTTGACAGACCATCTCTCCTGATATGAACATATCCATGCATTGCAGTCTTCCTCCAAAGGAGGTTTGGAAGATGGCAATAAGAGAGAGGTCCATTTTGGTGGTGAATCCCCAGCTAAGGAATACTGTCCCAAGTGAGGCATCTCTAACACCAACACTGTCATCTTTAGGAATCAGTCTAAGACTTTCTTCTGTTCAACAGCACATGATAAGCATTTTAGAGTGTGTGTTTTTAAATCTGGCCTTCAATTTATATTATCAATTGTTTTTAACTTGTCTTTAAACTTTTAAAAATCTTTGCATGTTACAGGTTTTATATCATGTTTTATCATGATGTAAAACTACAGCGCTCTGACTATTAGACAATATAAAAAAATGAAATTAAATGTTACTATTAAGGGAGGAAAAGCAGCACCTCCACAAGGTCCAAAAGATATGATACAGGGATAAAACAGATATAATGAGGTAACTTTCTTCTGCAAGGAAAGCACTTGCAGAGAAAAGAAGTTTATAAGCTTTAGGGCCAAGAGGTCAAAAGCAAAAGCCTAATTTGTGAAAAGCAACTAACTGCCAACCACAAAAAAGAGTGAGAAAACAGAAGCAGAACAACCCCAAAATAGCACATTTGTATTTTATCCACAGCAAGGTTCCTTGAAGAACTGTGGCAGTCAGGCGAGAACGGAGTAGGAAGCTAGGAGTCATGCCCCCTGCATGTGTAATTAGGAAAACACATTGGGGTTCCCATAAAGGAACTCTGCATAGGTACAAAACCTCTATGTAGAACTGTACAAGAATGACTAAGAACTATGACTACAGCTCAGCCTTCTATGCATGTATCCCTTACTGTTGTTTCCGCTGTCAATCCTACTGTCCCCAGTGTGTGCTTGCCCTTGCACCCATGTTCTTCGATATTAATTTATTTATTTTAAAACGTTTGTACACCATCCCATTACTGAAATCTTGGGACAGTTTAACAATGCACAATGTAAGAAAGAAAGAAAAAATTAAACACAGTGTCCTAGTAAAAGCCAGTAATACGGATTTTACTGGCTATTAAACTGATAGGCATGAATTGAACTTCAGTCCCAAGCGAAAAATGCCACCTGCAAGCTAGTTTTTTTCACATGAAAACTGTATTACATTCAATAAATGACACTCACTTGGTACAAGGGATTAGTGGAAGCAAAATCTTATCAGATGGATTTTTCATCAAAATATATTTATGCTGTTATAGAATTCATTCAAACAGTCATCTTTGAAGATGAATACATAAGTTGTGAAGCATGCTGTTCAGCATTCTTAACATAAGTCAACAACAAGCTTAGAGTACTCAAGAAACCTACAGTTAGTGCATCAAAATCCTTAAGAGAATATATAATGGAATGGTTTTCCTAAAAAACCCTTAATTTATCTTTTCTTTTTCACTCTTACTGCAATGAAGGAAGGAAGAATGGGACAGTTAACAGCTCACGTACAACATGATAACCCACACTCACAGGCTGAGTATAGGTTTGATGTGAGTTGTCGCTGACATGTGGGTTATCATGATGTCTGAATCCAGTCACATTAGCAAAGCAGAGTTTGTTAATGCCAAACAACCCATGAAGAGAGACCATGGTTTGCTGGGCTGTGGGTTGTTCAGTATGGTTTGTTACCTTGGTTGAGTTCAGGCAACATCATAACCATGTTTGAACAACAACCAACAATGACAACCGACACTCAACCCATATTCAACCCTTGGATGTTGTCTGGACTTAACCTATATCTGTTTTTGTGGTGATGGTGAACAGTTTGCAAGTAAATGGAAACAGAATATCTTCCTAGGC